AGTTCTTTTTTTGTTTTTTTTGCTTTTGCTTGTGTGGGTATAAATAGAGGGTTTTAGATTTTAGATGGTGGTGGTTGTTGGTTGATTTTGGGTCTCTTTGTTGGGGAGTTTCGTCTGAGTTTTTGAGAGCAATAGAAGGGGATTTAGTGGAGAAGAAAGGGGGCAACAACGACTTTCGAGAAGAAGAGGTCATATTTCTGGGTTTTTGCTTTAGGTACATTTCTAAAACAGAGGATTTCTTTTAGAGGAAATGGTGAAGGAGATGATGGAAGCTTGATCCCGTGGGTGGGGTTCCTTCCATCAGATCCAGACCTGTTTTCCTTTAAAGAATCCACCGTGCTTGTCTATTTCTTTTGTCTGTTGATGATTCTGTTCTCTTTGTTTAGGATGTTAAATTAGTATATGTTTGGTTGGAATGAAAGCAAATTAAAGATCGCACAGTTCATTTTATCTGATGAATGTGCTTCTGTTTTCTGTTGATGAATTTGGCCCTTTTTTTCATGATAAATGTGTTCTTTCTTTGAAATTGAAGAACCCTAACCTTAAGCCTCTTTTTCCATGTTTAATCCAATTTTTACTTAGTTTTGATTGACGGGTCTTGTTTTCGGGCCCAGTAGATCCGACCCAAAAAACAATTAATTAAAACAATCCATAAAAAAATGGTAGAAAAAAGATATAAATAAAATGATTAATTAATTAAGATCATTAATTTAATTTATGATTAATAAAATTAATTAACTTTAATTAAAATAAATTAATCATATTTATGGATCCTAATTTAAGATAATTATGTTGCTTGATTATCTTGATTAAAGATTTATGAATGTGATTGATTAATTTTAATTAATGTTAAATTAATCATTCAACTAAGTTAATTACTATAGTTAATTAATTTAAACCTTTAATTTCCTTTAATCTTGCTCAAAGTCAAAATTATCTTTCTTTATTTCAAATTTCACTCAAAACTTTCATAATTAAGCAACTTAGTCCTAAGTTTTAAATCTTTTCAAATTAGTCCTCTATGTTTGTGAATTTAATCAAGTCAGTCCTTCATATTTCGAATTTAATCAAACTAGTCCCTTTAATTTTTATTTGTGTTTATTGTGCATGCATGTTCTTGATTTTGTCTATTTCAGTTCAAAAATAAAAAAAAATGTTTTGATTTGGTTTATCTTTTTTTCTAAGTTCGCTTATTAAGACTCAAACATAAATATAATAAATGAGTTGAATTAAAACCCCCAATTTTCAAGTATGCAACTGTCTTTAAACGGAGGATTGTGAGGTGCGCGTATGTCCTTCCTAATTCTTATCCTGACTCTTAACCGAACCCCCGAATCTCGATCTCTGTGCAGACTCGTTTTAGATGACTTGTCTCACCTTATAATTTGGATGAGTGGCGACTCCCTTTTGTTTTGTATTTTTTACACTTAATTTTTCATTGTTTTGAAAAATCTTAAGTGGTCGTCAACACATACCAGACAAAATTGGCATCATTAGTGATTGACGGAGCAGGGCTTTTTTTATTTATTTCATTTTTTTATTTTATCATTTGGGTGTATATATAGAGCAAAAGCAGAGTAGGGGGGCCTTTGGTTGATTTCGGGTTGATTTCGGACAAAGAGGGGTTGTTTTTCTATGCTTGTTGTTTGGTGTTTGTGGGTTGAGAACATTGTTGAAAGGAATATCATTATGTTGGAGGCATCACTGGATTACTGGTGGGAGATAGAGGTTTAGTTCTTTTGGTAATTTTTTGAAATTGAGAAATTTCAGGAAAGGGTGATGAAGGTGACAAACAGCGCTTGATCCCGTGGGTGGGGTTCCTCTGTTTGAAACTGGATCTGTTGTCTTTTTTCTGGAATTTTCACTTTTAGATTTCTATGTTTGTTGATGTATGATGTTATTTTGGTGATTGATACCAAGATATATGGTAAGTGTTGATGAATGAATGACAGATTTTACTAGTATGTAACTAATATGTGTTGAATTTGAAATTGAATGTGTGATTTCTAGAAAAAAAAAAAAAATCGTTTGAAACGAATATGAATCCTAATTTTAAATGTCTTCTTCCATGTTTAATCTGATTTCACTTGTTTTGGTTGACAAGTTGTGTTTTTAGGGTAAGTGGATCCAATCCAATCCACTAAAAACAAATAATGATAATAATAAATAAATAAGTAAAAAAATAAATAAAATAAATAAAAGGATTAATTGATTAGGATAATTAGTTTGAATGTGTGATTAACAAAATTAATTAATTTTAATTAAAGTAAATTAATTATATTTATTGGCCTTAATTTGAGGTAATTAAATTTATTTAATTATCTTGATTAGAGGAGGTTGATAAATGTAATTAATTAATTTTAATTAGTTTTAATTAATGTTTAATCAATCATCCAATTATGTTAATTATCTTAACTAATTAACTTCAATTCTCTATTTTCTTTAATCTTTTTCCAAAGTCAAAATTTATCTTTCTTTATTTCAATTTCACTCAAAACTTTTATGATTAAGCAATTTAGTCCTAGGTTTTAAATCTTTTCAAATCAGTCCTCTATGTTTGTGAATTTAATCAAATCAATCCCTTCATGTTTTTGAATTTAATCAAATTAGCCCCTTTGATTTTTATTTGTACTTATGATGCATGCATGTTCGTAATTTTGTCCATTTTAGTTAAAAAAAATTTAGAAAAAGAAATGTTTCAATTTGGTTTATCCTTTTTCTTAAGTTTTGCCAACTAAGATTTAAGTATAAACATGTTGAATAAGTTGGATCAAAACCTTAATTTTAAAGTATGCAATCATGTTTAAATGGAGGATTTTGAGATGCGCATATGCCCTTCCACACTCTTAACCGAATCCTCGAACCCTGATCTCTGTGCAGACCTATTTTAGGTGACTTGTCCCATCTTATAATTTGAACGAGTGGCGACTCCCTTTTCTTAAAATTTTCACACTTAACTTAATGTTATTTTGAAATTTTAAGTGTTGTCGTCAACAGATTGGCGACTCCACTAGGGACTAACCCAAAATCTCTAGTTTCCATATTCTGGGTTCACGAGGGTCGAGCTAATACTTTTAACTTTGGGGAATTTTCAACTTTTGATTTTTCTTTGTTTGTTGAATCTTTGTGGGTCTTTGTTATTTATTGTATGTGCTTGTCACGTGTTGCTTGTGGCTTGTTGTTGTTTGGGTGGTTGCTTTTACTATTTTTGCCCTCGAGTGGTTATCTTACTCCATCTTGACATGCCTCATACCTTGCTTACATGTTTATGCATCATATCATCTCACATGCTCATCCATCATGGATATAACATGCTTATTCATCATGCCTACTTGCTTGTGTGTGGATGTACTAACCTTTTGCATTTGGCATCGAAGTACTAGGTGAGTCCTTTCCTAACATGTAAGTAAGTTTGCTTGTGGGTGCTATATCTGTTGGGTGCTTTACATGTTTTATTCGCTTGTTTGCTTTATTTGTTTGCTGTGGGATATATGTTGCTATTTCGATAGTTGCTATTTTTTTGGTTGCCATTGTACAGGTTATTGAAGTTTTATGCCCTTTGCACACACTTACTCTCATTTTGCATTAGGTCCGTGTTGGAGGTGAACCCAACCTCTAGTCTGGAATCCTTATGAATCTGGCTTGGAAAAGCAATTCTTCCCATTTTGAGGGGTAAGATCGGTTCCCGTTAGGTTGTTTCCATTGGTTAATACGACACTTGATGATGTAATATCATTATGTGTATTAGCTTTTGGAAATATCTCCCATTGATTCCAAAAGGATAAATGGTTGAGAAGGCCTAATGCCTTATAGGAAAGCATGTATTGGCTTTAGAGATACAAACCCTAGGACATGTTTCCCTTAGCATCTCACCCGTGAGGCTAGGTGTCCCGTGTTTAAGGTACAAAAGGGGCTTTTTACTTCGCTAACCTTCATTTGCGCATATGGCAGCTTATTTTTGCACACCTAATGAGGTATGGCATGTGAAGGTATGATTTATGTTTAACTCTTTTAAGCCTTTTGTTTAGGTAAGATCATGCATTAGACATGGATTTTACCGAGGATACAACTAGACAAGGGAAGAGACTTGGGGAAGATGTCACATCTCATTCTACAGCTAAGAAGGTTAAGGAGTCAATTTGTTTAGTCAATACCTCCAAGCCTAACTTGAAGTTGCTGAAAGAGGCTTATGGCTTGTTTTCCTTTAGAGAAAAGCATGACTTTGAAGTCCAATTTGGGTGCATAGGGGATCTATTGTTAGTGGTACTAGATTGGAACTTGTTCCGAGCTATGTTGAAATTCTGTGTCCCTCAATATCAAGCTTTTGTGTTCCCACACTTTGAGTTGGTGCCCACCATTGATGAGTATCGTCACTTTCTGCGGTGTAGTCCTATAGTGGATTCTTCTACCTTCACTCCTCAAGCACAACATATGAAGTTCACACTAGAAAAAATTCAAGAAATGTTGCAAGCTATGTGGGGTTTTTCATTTGAATTCTCACAACCATTGGTGACAATTAGAGATGATTTTTATGCGTTCGATTAGAATGTGGTGTTAATGGCTTTGGGAGAGAGATTGAAGGGCATGACATTTTCTCAAAGAATCAACTTTGTGGCATTGGGAATTTATGGCATGGTGATCTTCCCTATCTATGTCAAGACCATTGCACCTATGGTGGTAGCTTTGTTTGAGCAATTGTTGCACACTTAGGCATTTAATCTTGCTTCTACAGTGGTGGCTGAAACTTTATGGTCTATGAGAGAAATCCAGGCTAAAAGATCCAACCGCTTCTTGGGTTGCATGAAGTTGTTCACATGCACATTGTCACTTGAGGGGTCCTCAATTTGAAGCTTTATTCAGCATTCTTGTGAAAGATAAAAAGACGGAGGATTGGCATCAATCACTTCTAGCAGCAACTATTAATGATGTGGGATTTGTTCTCCCGACATGGAATGTTACTCATTATCTTGCTCCACTCGAAGGACATCACTCTATTCCTTTGTTGGGAATTCATGGAAATGTTACATATTCAGTGGAGTTGGCATCTCGTTAGTTTGGAAAAGCACAAAGTGTTCCCTATCTAGATGACACATTACAATCACACTTTGATTACATGTCTTCCCCAGCAATTGTATCTGAAGCACATGAGGTGTGGGAGAAGTGTGGGAGAAATGTGGGATGCTACCTATATGGAAAGAGAATGTGACTAGACCAAAATATGAGCAATAGAGATCGAGTTGGATAGTTAAGCTTTCTTTGCCATGGGAGGTGACGAATATGAAAAACTCTACCATCATGGACTTAACCGCTAAGTTGGAACTTAGCCATGCTCAAAGATGTCGATTGCTAGAGAAGTATGATGAGTTAGCTCTTGATCATGAATTGCTTAAAAGAGGAAAAGAGTTGTCCGATCAACAAGTGGCAGGGTTGAAAGACAAGATTGCCTCTTTAGAAAGGGATTTGGCTACTAGTAAGGAAATTTGTGGGAAGCAAAAGAGGAGCTTGGAGTTTGCCGAAGAACAACGTAAAAAGCTGCTATGAGTAAAGGCGGATCTTAAGGCAAAAGAAAAGGAGAACAAAGAGCTTGTGGAGAAAGTGATTAAACAACAAGAGTTGAATGGAAAAGTGATTAAGTGGAGGAATGCTTACAACAACTTATTGTCTGATTATGATGCTCTACAAAAGGAATTACAAATGGCAAGGCAGTCAAAGCAAGGGGAGAAGGAGAGCACAACTTGAGGAGCTTGGGGAAAGATGGGTTACTTTGGAGCTATTGTACAAACATTAGAAATTCAGA